GGAAGACATTGAAATGTGCTTGGGCCTGAACCTGGGGGAGGAACCGTTGATTCTAGAGTCAGTGAACTCAAACAGCACATGACAGTTTGCCAATACAATGTATGTTACACTAGGTTATGTGAGCTCCTGTCTCAAGAAAGAAAAGAAGGAAAGGAGGAAGAGGAGAAAAAGAAAAGTGAAGGATTAAGACATTGAGGCAGGGTTTTGAGTTTCAGGACAATATGAACTTCATAGTGAAAACTTCTATAGAAAAAGAAAAATTTATCAAAAGTGTTGGGATACCTCTGTATTAGCAGAAAACCACTAATCATATTTATACTGCGTGTGATCAAAGTGAGGCACTTAACATGCAGTAGATGCTCAGGAAATACCTGTTTGTAATGTTTAAATGCTTCTTTAGAGAGAAACCTACCCAGGCCCAAGTGCAGCCTACTGCTGCATTGATGGGTTTACAGCATCTGATTGTCCTCAGTTATACCATTTCCATGCAACATGTCGACAGGACTTCAGTTTGTCCTCCAGTCTGGCCTCAAACTGACTCCCAAGATGGTCTTAAGCTTAAGCTCATAATCCACCAGCCTTAGCCTCCTGAGTGCTAGTGTTACATGGAAATTCAAGGCCAGCCAGGGACCCCTGCTTTAAAAAAAAAAAAAGTCAAATAATATTATCAATTTTTTTTAAAGATGTATTTGATGTATTTATTTATGTATTAAATGTTTGGTCTGCAGGTACACCTGTGCGCCAGAAGAGAGCACCAGATCTCATTATAGATAGTTGTGAGCCACCATATGGTTGCTGGGAATTGAACTCAGGGTCTCTGGAAGAGCATCTGGTGCTCTTAACCTCTGAGCCACATATATATACACAGATATATATATGTACATACACACACACACACATATATGAGGAAACTGAGAGTCACACAGAATATTTAAATTCTTTTTTTTTTTTTTTTTAAATAGGCCTCTCACTGTTTCCCAGACTGGCTTCAGGAGCCTGATTCTCTTGGCTTCCCTTGGGATTTCAGGTGCACACCGTCACATTCCACTATAAGTTCCTTTTAAACCATCCCTTCCTGTTATCATTCTTAGTTGTCTCTAACGGTGTATTACCTAAACTCCCAGGCTCTGAATCCGCCACACAGTCAGCTTGAGTTATTATTTCTTTAGCTCTTAGGCTAGTGCTATTAAGCAGCCTTTGGGTAAGATCTCCCAAAATGTCTTAAGGGTGTCTGAGTGATCACATGGACATTTATAATCCATTCCCCATCTAATCCTAATCCCTACATGAGTATCTGTTTTCCAGTGATTCGTGAGTTATAAGCAGCTAGTGACTGTGGAACATGTGTTATTTATTTTCTCGTTATTTGTGTGTGTGTGTAAGTGTTGGGTGCATGTGTTCCAGCCTTTGTGTGAAGGTCAGAAAACTTAGTGGGATTAGTTTTCTCTTTCCACCTTTATGTGAGTTCCAGGGATTGGGTTCAAGTTGTCAGGCTCATGTGGCAAGTACTTTACCCACTGAGCCATCTTGCCCAGCTCCTGGTTTTTGTTTTGTTTTTTGATTTTGAGAAAGGGTCTTACTCTGAGCCCAAGTGCTTACCACCTATTATATACAGCCCCCGTGTTTAGTATGTCACAAGTGTCAATGTTCAGTCTGTCACATGTGTTATTTCATTATTGTTTATAATATCCTTTTAAAACATTTTGTTTAGTTTTTTGAGATAGGGTTTCTCCATGTAGCCCAGGCTGGCCTCAAACTCAGAGATCCGCTTTCCTCTGCCTTCCAAGTGCTTGGAATAAAGGCATGCACTACCACACTTAAAACACTTTTATATTTATGTTGAGTTCAGAGGACAATTTGCAGGAATTAGTTCTCTCTTTGGTTTCTAGGGATCAGTCATGGATCAATCAGGCTTTGTATTTGTATTAAGCACCTTTACACTGAGCCATCTAGGATCCAGTATCATTTTTCCCTTTTCTCTTCCCTCCTGGCTTTTTTGCCCTACCTGTCCTTAAACTTGCCTCACAAGCACTGCGTTACATGTGTATGTTATCATAGCCTCCTCTACATTCATTTTTTTTTAATTTAGTATTTGGAAAGAGTGAGTTGAGTTAAAGGGAGAGTAGGAATTGGTACACACCTATAATCCCAGCATTTGAGAGGTGGAGACAAGAGTATTAGAGTTCAGGGGCTTGAACTACTTGAGACCCTGGCTTCACACCAAACAAAAGTGGTGGAGGAAAGAGCCAGATGTGGTAGCTCATGCCTATAGTGCCAGCACTTAGGAGGTGGCGGCTGGAGGACTGCTGTCAATTTAAGGTCAGCTTGAGCTACATAGGGAGTGTTAGGTCTACAGCATGAGACTGTCTCAAAAAAGAAAACCAGCTAAATATAAACTTTAAATTTTTGTGAGACATCTCAGTTATTTTCAGCTAATCTAGTCTTAGAAACATAATCTCCTAAATGAAAGAAGGCTTTTATTATTTTTGGAACAGTGGCCATCTCTGTCATAAGAGTCGACTACTTGCTGAACTTGCTGGTGGGTCATGAGTACAGTGCTTACCTCGCTACTCAGGACCCAGTGGCAGATTGGGGTGGGTCAGGCCTCTGTGTGAGTGCGTTGTTTGCCAGGATATTAAACATTATAGAAACATTGTGCTCTTGGACTAGGACTTTGCTCCCCACTTGTGTTTGCTTTTCTTAGCACTTCCCAGGATCCTTTGATAAGGAACTCACTTAAAGGAAATGCCTCTGTGTATTATTTGAATCCGTTTCTGATTTCTTCTCATAATTACTGTTTTTTATCATCATATTCGTGTTCCTCCAACTCCTCTGTTACAAAAGTGTTATTATGTTTATGTGATTGCAGTATGCAAGAATGCAGTGCCACTGAAAACTGATGGCTACTGCAGACACAGGTCTTATTCTTTTCAGCACTGGGAGGATAAATTGTGAAATGGTATGAAATCCCTAGGTCATGCTTTCAGACATTAAAGTTAATAGTAAAATTAGAAAATTTCCTCATGGGTGTTTTTAGATCTTTTATTAGAATTCTCTTTTTCTGTTGAATTCTTACTATTTAGAGATTGTGTAAGGTTGGTGTCCTGTTTGGTTTTGGGGTGAGGGTTGGTTGGTTTGGTCTCACCATGTAGACCAGGCTGGCTTCATACTCACAGAGATCTACCTGACTCTCTCCTGAGTGCTGGGATTGAAGATATATGCTACCACATCTGACCCTTTATAATTTTATTAAGCCTTTAAAAAGAACAGTATCTCTGAATGTGAAAACTTACAGGGAATGGTGTCACACACATCTATAAGTCCAGCACTTGAAAAGTAAAGGGAGGAGGATCAGGAATTCAAGATTATTCTCAGCTGCCTAGCAAGAGCAGCTGGGATACATGAAACTCTGTCTCAAGAAAACGAAAAGTAAGGGGCTGGAGAGATAGCTCAGTGGTTAAGAACACTGATGGCTCTTCCAGAAGACCAGGGTTCAGTTCACAGCACCCACATGGTAGCTCACAGCTGTGTGTAACCCCAGTTCCATGGGATCTAATGCCCTCACACCAATGCATGTAAAATAAAGTTAAAAAAAAAAAAAAGGAAGAAGGAAAAAAAAAGTATATAAAAAAGACAGGGAAGCCAGTTGCTGTGGCACACGCTTGTAATCTCAGCACTTGGAGAGGCGGAGGCAGGTGGATCTCTCTCTGAGGCCAGCCAGTCTACAAAGTGAGTCCAGGACAGCCAAGACTGCGCAGAGAAACCTGTCTCAAAACAAAAACAAAACAAACAAACAAACAACAACAACAAAAAGACAGGGAATTCTTAGGGCTATTGCTATAGCAGAGGCAGAATGCTTCTCTAGCATGTGCAAGGCCCCAAGTTCTCCCTCAGCATGGTTAAATAAATAAAACACCTAAAAAGAAAAAGCCAAAAATGTGATTCCTGTGTTTCTGCTTCCTCCTTTTAGATGCTCTCGATTTGGATTTGTCACCTCTCAGCCTTTTCTCCATTGGTTTTAGTCAAGGATATTGCTAGCCACCACTGCTTATGCTTCTAACAGTGACACACTTTGTTGGCTTTTGGTGGTTTTTCACTGTAAAGACCAGGCTGGCCTCGCTGGTCGCCTTCCTGCCTCAGCCTCCCAAGTGCAGACATTACTGGCTTGTGCCATCTATACTGGGATTGGCCTGTGGCCTCGACTTTCATCACCTACCATCACCACCACCATGGAGAAAAGGGAGGAAGGGCTAAAGAACTGTGGGCAGAGAACAAGTTTCGGGAAGAGGGGAAAGGGTTCAATCAGTAGTAGTTCATGCTCTATTTAAAATTGTTCATTTTTATTTCATGTGTATGAGAGTTGGCCTGCATATATGTATATATATTATGTATGTGTGACCAGTATACTTGGAGGCCAAAAAAGTGTTGATTTCCCTGGAACTGGAGTTAAGGACTGTTGTAAGCCACATGTGGGTTACATGCTGGGAACTGAATGCAGGTCCTCTGTAAGAGCAGCACTTATTTTAACACCTGAGCCATCTCTCTACTCTCACTTTACTTTCTTTTTTTACAATTTATTTATTAATTATACAGTATTCTGCCTGCATGTATGCCTACACACCAGAAGAGGACACCAGATCTCACTTATAGATGGTCATGAGCCACCACTCTGGAAGAGCAAACAGGGCTCTTAATCGCTGAGGCATCTCTCCAGCTCCCCCGACCACCACTTTCTTATGACATTTTTATCTTGGTTATTATGCGATGGTATGCTTTGGCTCCAAAGGCTGTTGTATTTTCCTGTCCTTCCTCACTGTGTTTCCAAATGTCACTGTTTTTGTTCCATGACACAAGGTCTCACTGAGTAGCTCCAACTGGCCTGGAAGGTGAGGTATTCCTTCTGTCTCAGCATCTTGAGCACTGAGATTATAGTCTAGCCTGAGTTTCAGTTCTTGTTTGTCATCCATTCACAGTCATCTTCTCTTTGGCCTTTCATGCAGGCGACAGCTCCTTCTTTCTCCATACCTGGCTCATGACTCCAGTTCATGTTCCTGAAACTCCAGCAGAGTATCGCTATAATAGGGCCCATTCTGCAACACACAGTGTGATCGAGAAGACTTTGCGGACCCTCTGTTCTAGGTTCCGATGCCTGGATGGATCGAAGGGGGCGTTGCAGTATTCACCAGAGAAATCCAGCCACATCATCTTGGCTTGCTGTGTCCTGCACAACATTTCCTTGGAACATGGAATGGATGTTTGGTCCTCTCCAATGACTGGACCCATTGAACAGCCCCCTGGGGGCGAGTTTGAGCAAATGGAGTCTCTGGACTTAGAGGCTGACCGAATCCGGCAGGAGCTGATGCTCACTCATTTTAGTTAGTGTGGAACTCAGAAGGAGGAGGGACACTTTCTAGAATGAGCTGTAACAACCTTCCGCAAAGTTACCAGCCCATCACAAAATTCTGTGGTCCAGCGTGACTGAGTGTGCACACTTGTCATAGATTAGCATTTACTATTTTAGAAGGGCAGGGGGTGGGGGACACACGCCAGCCCTTGCAAATGTGTCAACTAGACCAAAACCAAGACAGTGTTTCCCTAGTGTACAGTGAATCCCAGGCTATGCACCACTTTTTTCAAAGTTCACTGATTACAATGGCAAAGTCACATAGTAAAGGAGAAAACAGCACATAACCAAAGCATTTTGTTGTTTCATTTATCTGGAGACCTCAAATGAAAATGTTTGTCCTTATTTATTCATTTATTGCTATTTTGTATGAGACATTTTTTTCTATGTAGCATGGACTTGCCTGGTGCTCACTGTGTAGCCCAGGTTGGCCTGGAACTTGTAGCAGCCCTCCTGCTTCAGCCTCCCAAATTTCCTGATTCTTTGTTTTTATCCTTTGCTGTCTACAGAGACAAATAGGAAGAAAGAATGAATTTAGTTGAGAAATGGTCCTCTTTTTTGTTTGTTTGTTTTTGGTTTCTCTGTATAGCCTTGGCTGTCCTGGACTTGCTTTGTAGACCAGGCTGTCCTTGAACGTACAGAGAATCCCCCGGCCTCTGCTCCTCGAGTGCTGGGATTACTGTGTGTGCCGCTACACCCTTCGAGAAATGGTCTTCTACTAAGAGTAGGTGAGCACTCATCCAGCATGTGTGACAGCTCGACCCCTAGAACTGAAGACAGACTAAATAGTAATAAGAGAAAGGAACTAGCAGTGTGCATTTGCAGGGTTGTTTAGAAGAGGACATTAGGGACTGTGGGAAGCACCATGCCGGCTCTAACTGGACTATGATTTGGATCTAGTTCTTAGAGGGAACATCTGAATTCCAGACCTTAGTCCACCCTTGAGTCAGTCAGAGCCTAAGCTTGAAGAAGGTAACTCAAATATAAATAAAATATTAAGTTTATACCTTACAGATGCTCTAAGACCCTGGCAGTTAAATGAACAAAAGAGTCCTACAAGTTTATAAAATTCCTATCTAACTAAACTACATTAAAAAAAAACACATTGATTTATTTTGTGTGTGGGTGGGATGCATGTGTAGAGGTCAGAATACCACTTGTGGGTCTCAGAGATGAAATTCATACCAGGCTTGGCAGCAAGCATCTTTACCTGCGGAGATATCTTGCTGGCCTGACATTTCTTTCTTCTTTCCTTTTCCCTGTTTAATGTGGCAATGAGATTGAACTTAAGAGTCTGCTTTCTAGCAGGGCTTGGTGGTGCACGCCCGTGATCCCAGGACTCAGGGAGGCAGAGGCAGGTAGATTGCTGTGAGTTCAAGATCAGCTTGGTCTACAAAGTGAGTACAGGACAGCCAAGGCTACACAGAGAAACCCTGTCTCAAAAAATAAATAAATAAAATAAAAATAAAAGGTCTGCTTTCTGTATGCTCGGCAAGTGTTCTACCTCTAAGCTATATCCTTAGATTGCTTTTTTTGTTTCCATTTTATTACTCTCTTGTCCAAGCTGTCCTGGAACTCACTAACTCAGGCCTTAAACTTGTGATCCTTCTGAGTCACCCTCCTTAGCAGTTGGAATTACAGACCTGTGTCATGTTGTGTTTGTTATGGCTGTGGTAAGAATATTTATATAGTATATTTTGGAATTCTTTATACAGAGGACAATTCTGGGGTAAGAAAAGAGGATCTTAGAGCTAGGCATAGTGGCTCATGCCTGTAATCCTAGCACTCAGGAGGCTGAAGTTCTGATTTCAAAGCCAACCTGTACCACAGTCTCAGGCCAGTCTGGGCTACTGTGGGAGCCCTGTCTTTGAAAAGCAGAAGTACAAAGCATGGCTTGAAATAAACTGTGGAGTTAGACCTTAGAAAATATTATATGCAGAGTGATAGACAGAACTTCCCAGGAAATAAATAACCCCCTAACAAGTCTTGTTCTAAAATTTCACTACTGTAAAAACAACCTGATAGGGATAATAGAAGTGTGAATTAGGTTCACACATCGGTGTCTTTGCTGGGACTAAAAAGATATTTTCCTGAGGATTGTCTTGTTCCCAGTTTCTCAGTCACTTATCATGTGACACCTCTGAATTGGCCTCTTGGATCATTTTCTACCTGCCTTTGGCAGTGTTAATCTGGTGATTTTCAAAGTAAAGAAGTGAACAGCTGATGACAGAAATGTGGAAATAAATTGAGGGTGACTCATCCTCAAGATTAAAAACAATTATGGATTATTATCTGCTGTTTATTTCCATTCCAAATGTTGCTTCTTATCCTTATCTTCCTCTGTGAAGAGTGGGTCGCTTGGCAGGAGAGTGAATTTAATGAGTACAAGGAGGTCCTAGAGGGGGGACGGACAGTGGATGGTTGATAGAAACTAGTTCTGAGCATTATACAATGAAGACTTTGTTATATTTTGTTCTTTGTACACTTTTTTTTCTATTTATTTTGAGATAATATCTCACTAGGCAGGCATGGCTGGCCTGGTACTGATTATTTAGCTCAGGGTGTCCTCATATTCAGCAGTCTTCCTGTCTTTGTTTCCTAGGTACTAGAATGACAGATACACCACAGTACTTAGCTCTGTTTTTGTTGTTTGGTTGGTTGGTTTTTATTTTATTAAGACAGAGTTTTACCATATAGCTTTATTTTACCTAAAACTCAATGAATAGACCAAGCTGACTTTGGAGTCATAGAAGTCCATCTGTTTATGGAGTGCTGGGATTAAAGGCCTTAATCAGCCACCTGTTTTTTGTTTTGTTTTTCTTTTTCCAGACAGGCTTTCTTTGTATAGTGTTGGCTGTCCCAGACTTGCTTTGTAGATCAGGCTAGCCTTGAACTCATAGCGATCCCCTTGCCTCTGCCTCCCTGAGTGCTGGAATTGAAGGTGTGTGCCACCAAGACTGGCTCAGCTACTTCTTCCTTCCTTCCTTCCTTCCTTCCTTCCTTCCTTCCTTCCTTCCTTCCTTCCTTCCTTCCTTCCTTCCTTCCCATCGAGACAGGGTTTCTTTTTGTAGCCCTGGCTGTCTTGGAACTCGCTCTATAGATCAGGCTGGCTTCAAACTCAGAGATCCACTTGCTTCTGCTCATAAGGGCTGGGATTAAAGACATGTGCCACCATTCCTGGCATTGTATGTATGTATGTATTTAGTTTGTTATTTATTGCTGGGGAATCAAATCCAGAGCCTAGCACACAATACTTAAGCATTCTATTCGGGGCTACAACTTCATAGTGTGCAAAACTTAACAATAGCTTGTTTTGTCTCCCTCATAAGGTATGTAGCCTCCTCAAACTTGCCACTCTCCTGGTTTAGCTTCCAGATGCTGAGAAAAAGAAGAAAACAAAATAAAACAAAACAAAACCAAAACTGAAAGCTTCTACCCCTGTGTGTGTCCTCATCCTTGGGTCTGTTTTATTGTCTAGATTTTACCAAGATTTTATAAAACTGTATGTATAAAAGATGATAGACTCAAAATTTAACATTCCCCAGTCCGCTTTTCTTTATTTAGTCTTTCTAAATTCTTTCCATGTGATTGACAGTGATAAGATCTATTCTTAGGGCGATGGACTATCCTGGTCTGCTCAGGGTTGTCACAATTTTAGCACTGAAAGGCCTCTGTCCAACTGATCGTTATAACAGAGACTCAGGGAGGATTGTCGCCTAAAATTCAAGGGTATAGCTCCACAAGAAAAACCTACTAGAACACAGCCATCAACAACCAGCACAGCAGTGAGCTATGGAGTGTCCATGCCAGAGTGTAGAAGGACATCAACCCAGGCTGATTGCAATTTCTGCCCACCTGGTTTCTAGTTATGAGTTCTCTGGTGTGAGAAGAATCCTAGTATTTCTGAGTATTTCAACTCTGCATCTCTGTTGTTCAGTCTGATCCAGATCATCTTAAGAACAAGCAAGTCATTTACTAACAAGTTGAAGCTTAATTCCATATTCAGAAGAACTTTTCCAGAGGACTCCTTTAGATCACCACTGGTACCTGAAGCCATTTCTTTTCTTGCTCTGGGCACAGAAGGAAGGGGCTTATGCATACTAAGCAAGCACTTTGCCCCTAAACACCACTGCAGGTCATCTTTCCCAAAGGCTCATAAAGTAGTCCAGCCTCAGTTTTTCAATTATCTCCATTTGTAGAAGATAATTTTACATCTATGTGTAAAATTACATTTTTTCCCCTCCAAGTTTCTGCAGGGTTCTGGGGGGTATAAGTCTGTTGGTACAGTGCTTGCCTAAGATGCACAAAGCTCTGGGCTCAGTTTCTAGCAGTGCATTGGAATTGGACATGGTCATGTAGTACTTGAGAGGTAAAGGCAGGAGGATCAGGAGTTCAAGGTCAGCCTTGCCTACCTGGCCAGTCTGGAATTCCTGAGACCCTGTTAAGAAAGTTTCCAGACCTTAAAAACTTCTTGTGTTCTTGAAATTCTTCTTTTTCTTCTTCTTCTTCTTATTATTTTAAGTCAGTGGACTCTATTGCTTCTGAGTTGTGGGGTTTAGGAGTTCTTGGTAGAGCAGGTCCATTTCCTGTTCATCACCACAAGCTTCTGGCTTCACAGGATAGCACTGCCCCTGCCGATGGCCTCCTTGAACAGATCAGGGCAGTTCTTGCTCTTTCAGATTAAATGCCTGCTGCAGATGGCCCCGAGCATTCTTACTGATGGTGGTCCTCAGGTAGGAATTGGCTGCTTTTTGCTGACTGGATCAGCATTTCATGACCACCACAATCTTTTTGCCATTGGCCGCAGGCTCCACAGTCTTGTGTTGAAATAGTCAAAGGAGTTGTGGCAATTTAGATTATTGGGCTCAGTGCTATGTATTTCCTTATTCCTCTTGATAAGGAAACCAGAACAATTTCAAACAGCCATCCATTGCAGTTGTGTAGACGTGGCTTCTCTCCCTGTGGCCGCCAGTGACAGAGCTTGACATTTTTTTTTAAGATTTATTTATTTATTATATATACAGTGTTCTGCCTGCATGTACACATTCACACCAGAAGAGGGCACCAGATCTCACTATATATGGTTGTGAGCCACTATGTGTTGCTGGGAATTGAACTCTGGTCCTCTGGAAGAGGAAGCAGTGCTCTTAACCATTGAGTCATCTCTCCAGCTCCAGAGCTTGACATTCTTGAAATTAATGTCTTTAGTTCTCTTTCACTGTGTCAAGGTTTCAAAATACAGTAGTTGTTTGGGTCAAATTTGAATAAAGATTCTGTATCTAAACCCCATACTCCAAAAGCCTCCCTAAAAGGAAGCTTCCCGAAAGCCTTGAGGAGACAACGCACTTGTCGTTTGGCTCTAGAATATGACAGCTTGCTTATTAAGTTGTCCCTGACTTACAGAGGTCACATTTGTCCCTGACTTACAGAGGTCACAGAGCTACCGAGGATAAAGACTGAGTCCCAAGTTTTCTTAGGTGTGGTGTGCCTTTCCTGGGAGATATGAACAAATGCCTATTTGACCCAATATGTTGTTAGAGAATCACCAACAACAGAACATATAAATTATTCTGTCCAAGCCTAGAGTGGTGAACCAACAAGTTTGAAGTCTTTTACAAGAACACGGGCAAGCTATGGGCAGTAATGGCACCGAACAAGAGTTTTCCCCCTTCACTTAACAATCATTAACTGCTAATTTATCTCCAGTGACATGCTCTAGGTAATTTGCTGTCTTTGCCCTGGTGGTTGAGAGGGTTAGAAAGAGCAATCTGTCTCTTTAAGGGGAAAATACACACAGGATGCTTTGAGGGAATAATTTCCCATCTCTGGGACAAGCTCATTTTCACCTTTACTGTTTAAATTTTATTTTTATTTTATGTTCATTGGTGTTTTGACTGCATGTATATCAGTGTGAGGGTATCAGATCCCCTAGAACAGGAGTTGCAGACGTTGTGAGCTGCCATGTGGGTGCTGGGAATTGAAACCGGGTTCTCCGGGAGAGCAGCCAGTGCTCTTAATTGCTGAGCCATCTCTTCAGCCCCTTATTTTTTTCACCTTTATTGCCCTGCCTTTCACTACATCTTTCACCCATGTTGTTTGGGTTTTGAAGCCTTCCAGAGACTCATAAGCACCAAGTCTGGCTGTCAGTTTTTCTTCTTCAAACTCTGACTCTACACAAATCTCACGACACCTGTTTTGGGGTGTCCACTCAACCTACTTATGTCTCTAGTGCTATGATAAAACACCGTGAGCAAAAATAACTCGGGAATGAAACAGTTTATTTCAGCCTACACTTCCAAACACAGTCCACCTAAATATGGGCAGGAGCCTGGAGCTGGAAAGGAGGCCACGGAGGAATGTCGTTTACTCTTACAGGGCTTGGCTTACTCACTTTCACTGTGTAGCCTTGGCTGCCCTGAACTTGCTTTGTAGACCAGGCTGTCCTCAAACTCACAAAGATCCACCTGCCTTTGCCTCCTGAGCTCTGGGATTTTCTTATACCACTCAGGACCACCTACACAGGGATAGCACTGCCCCCATCGGCCTGGACCTCCTATATCAGTTATTAATTAGCTGCCTTACAGACTTGTCTACAGGACAGTTAATGGAGGCATTTTCTTAACTGCAGCTCCTCTTTCCAGATAATTCTAGCTTGTGTCAATTTGACAAAACAAAACAAAAACAAAGACAAAACAAAAACAAAATGAAACAAAAACTAAGCAGGATACTTTCTATCAGCTTTTTCTTTTTTCAGCATCTCTTGACTAGTTTAGCATTTTTTTAAACACAATTTACATTCCAGTCTAAATCATTTAGAGCCATAGAACATTTCCCACTCTATAAAAATCATGTCTGGTCCGGTCGTAGTGGTACATGCCTATGCCTTTAATGCCAGCACTTGGGAGGTAGAAGAAGCCAGATTTCTGTGAGCTTGAGGCCAGGTTGGCCCACAGAATGAGTTCTAGAACAGCCAGGCTGCACAGGGCTGTCTTGAAAAACCAACCCCAGCCAGGTGCGGTGGTGCACCCCTGTAATTGGAGCGCCACTCTGAGAGGCAGAGGTGGAGGGATCTCTGTGAGTTTGAGGCCAGCATGATCTACAAAGTGAGTCCAGGGCAGCCAAGATTGCACAGAGAGACTGTCTTGGTAAAATAAAATAAAATAAAATAATAATAATAATAATAATAATAACAACAACAACAACAACAACAACAGAAAAGAAAGAAAAGAAAAGAAAGAAAGAAGGAAGGGAGGACCCCTCCCCAAGAGATTATGTCCTACCCATGAGGCACAGAAAGCACACTGAATCCCTATTTCCTGCTAAATTAGCCTCTCTTTCTCCCTCCCCTCTGTTTTTTTTTCTGGCTGTTGCAGTTTGTTTCTCTAGAGCTGTGATAAACACTTTGACCAAAAACGATTTGGGAAAGGATTTATTTCATCTTACAGGTTACAGTTTATGAGTGGAAGCCAAGGCAGAAGTCAAGACAGGACTTGAAACAGAAACTTTGCTGGCTTCCTCCCCTGGCTCACTCGGATATAATCCCAGCTCCAGAGGTTTCAACACCGCTGCCTTCTTCATGTACCTGCACTCATGTGGACATGCCCACACTCAGCACATACATACGCATAATCAAGAAATACGGCCAATCATGAAAAAAAAATGAGAGGCCCAGAGTTCTAGTCCCAGCATTCCCATCAGGAGGCTCAGAGTCATTTGTAACTACAGCCCCAGGGGATATCAAGCTCTTTTTCTGGCCTCCATGGGGACCTGCAAACATGTGGTGTACACACATACAAACACACACACAAACACATCATTAAAATAAGTCTTCTCCAATTCAGGCAGTTCAGATGCAGAGTAGTTCCTGTCTGCGTACTGAATGACGCACTTTCTTCTCCTCTGTATTAGATGTTGGGCCGCACAGGGGTTTTCTGTCATGTCTTCCTTTTCCCCTTTCTCCTCACTGTCCAATACTTCCTATGGGTTCTAAGTGTCCGGAATCCCAGAAAAGAGTCCTTAGCACAATCTAATTTGTACTCTTTCTCTTATGCAAGAAACAACACACACACAAAGCCCACAGTGATGGAACTCACCTTTTAATCCCAGCACTTGGAAGGCAGAGGCAGATGGATCTCTGACTTCAAAGCCAGCCTGGTCTACAGTTCCAGGACAGCCAGGGCTACATAGAGAAAGCCCGTCTTGAAAAAATGAAGTTAAAAAAGAAGAAAGAAAAGAAATAATAAACTTATAACTCTATCTCATTATTTTCACCCACCTTATTGCAGATCACTAAAAAAAGAAAAAACAAACAAACAAACAAACCACAGGGTAGAGAGATGGCTCAGTGGTTAAGAGCACTGTCCGCTCTTTCAGAGGTCCTGAGTTCAATTCCCAGCAAACACATGGTGGCTCACAACCACCTATAATGTGATCTG